TGTAAAATGTGTGACCAATAAACTATAAAAGTGATAATAATTTGGACATATTGCAGAAAATTACTTTAATTATTGTAACATCATGAGCTAGCAAACAAATGTACATTAATGGCGTAGTAGAGTTTTACAATCTTTAAAAAATTTATAAATGTGTATACTTCTATTCTGAAAAATAAGATAGCCCTTCTTCCCACATATGAGATCCAATGTGCATGATATATTTTCCTAAATATGTGTTTTTGCTTTTCAAAAATGTATTACTTAGAAGAACCTACCCTAAATTTAAGTATGATTATCAGAAGTCTGAAACATCACTTTGTCTTCCTATTTGTTATCATGGATTTTAAGTTATTAAACTATCATGGGCTGCTCTCAAATTAAGGGCTGTTTATCAGTGCTCAGTGATATCGGAAAGTAACCACAGGTTCCTTTCATTGCATTTTTATCAAGAGCCTGGCACTGTGCTGTGCACTTAACGTTCATTGTCTCATTTAATCCATAAATCCACAGCTTTGCATATGAGGACACTAGAGCTAGGAGTGTAGCTGACTCCTCACAGTGGCTCAGCTAGTAGTGGGTAGAGCAGGGATCTGAGCAGGGGCCTTACTGACTCCTGATCCCCTGCCTCCCCCACCAGACACACTGGGCCCCTAAAGCAGATGAGGATGTAATGTTTACCCCAGTCTCTTTGTTTTAATGCATAACTTTAACTCTTTTTTAACTCCTACCAGTACATTCATAAATTAGAACAAAGATTGCTTTTCTTTTGCTCTTTTCAGTTGTGCCTGTGTTTATAAATAGCCCTTTGAAAGGAGCTCTGCTGTTCAAAAGAGGATGAGTACTTCTGACTTTTTCCTTCTGGAGTCTCTGTATAATGATTCAAAAGGAGATAATCATCTACAAGTGGGGGCATAGAAATAGGGGGATCAATCTAGATAAAGTACTGTTTATAATGACCTTTGTTGGATAAGTTCGATTTCAGCAGGCTCAGCACAAGGAAAATTGTCACATACCATCTTGTAGTTAATTTTACTTCTTGTAGCATGTTGTAGTGAGTTGTATTTCGTATGAGTTAGCATTTAAATATGTGTATACTACCACAACACACTGAATTGAACTTAAAATACTGAAATTAGTAGCATGGGGGAAAGGGTGGTAGGGGGAAGACTTCCATTACTGAGTAGAGCAGAGGGGAGCTGTCCACCATCAAAAGTCGTATTTAGGTAAGGGACAGAGTGCTAAACTTGTAACTGCGTCAAGGAGCGGCTTACTCTCAAAATGTAGACCTAGAAGCAAAGAACATTAACTATAACATGGAGGGTAGGTCGATGTCATTCAGTTTTATCCCTTACATCGATTGTGTCATTTGAGAACTATTTGTAAATTGATTTTGCAATCGTGCCAAATTAACAAAAGTGTGTTTGAAATTCAGAAGTACAGCAGGAGTTTTGGTTTTCCATGTAGCTCCCTCTAGGACAGTTGTTTCTACCTATTCTGCTTCTGTAAGTCATTTTGTCTACAAGGCTTTAAGATGCTTCCCCAAAATCCAGCCTGTCTATGCCATGGGTGGAATTTTCAGCATTCTTCTCATATTGCCATAAAATAAAATGCTGAAGACAAAGCTTTAAGAAGACCTACAACAGCTTGTTAAAAGGGAAGAATTGAGTGGTGCTTAGGAAGTTAACTATCTGCAGTCTTGTAGAAAATTTATTTCAAGTCCATCCTCATTGGTCTAGGAAAGGAACAGTAAACCTGGGGTAGGCTAAGTTTGTGATTTCTGCATGTTCATGTATAGTAACATATTGGAACATAACTGGTATTTCTCTGTACACAGATCAATATAAGTTAAGATATGATTACCATTTTGCTACTTTTCTATCAAAGAAAAATTCACCAAAACAAAAGAGTTTTTTAAAAATATACATTGGTTTGGAAAAGCATATAATAGTTGAAATCATGACTGTGTAAAAAATGGGTTTAAAACAATTATTAATTGTTCCAATTCAGTCAAAGGCATGATATTACAGTTTTTGACATCACATGTCCTGCACAATGAGAAATTACAACTGTTATGTGGTCTCGTTTTTCATAAATACAGAGTTTTATATATGTAGAATTCTAGTAAGTCTTATATTTTAGGAGAAATTCCAGATCTTAAAATTAAAAATCAAAACTGTTATATTTCTATCAAATTTTATTTAGAAAATATCCTTTAAAATAAGAAAAGCAAGTTTCTCTTTACTTTTAAGATGTTTCAGTGGCATAAAGTTAGAATTCTGTTCATTTAATCTCATCCCCCTAAAAAAATGATTGCTGTCATTTTGGTACATAGCTATGTGAGAAGATATTGTTCCAAATTTTTTTTTTACATTTTTAAACCTTATTCAGAAGAGAGAAAACTAATTTAACTAAAAGAGAATTATAGGTATATTGAAGAACTATCTGTACTAAATCTTCATGTATAAAAGTATTTGTGCCCTTTTTATTGTTTATGTCTATACATGTTGATTTTTATAGCCATACATTGGTTTGTATATATATGTCAGACACTTAGTTCTGTGCTGACCGTTCCCGTAACCACAAGCCACTTGTAGTGATTGAGCACTTGAAATGTGACTAGTCCAAATTGCAATGTGCCATGAGTATAAAATTCACACTAGATTTCAAAGATTTTGTAGAAAAGAAAGAATGAGAAATAGCTCAATAATTTTTTTTACATTGATTACATGTTAAAAATGACTATTTTGGATATACTGAATTAAATAAAATACTACATTTAAATACCCTACTTTCTTTTTCCTTTTTTAATGTGGTTGCTAGAAAAATTTAAATGACATAAAAAGCTTACATTCGTGACCCACATTGCATTTCTCTCGGGCACTGCTCAACTCAGACCATCTATATGTCTACATACTTTATATTTTAGTAACAACATCATCTCAGACAGAAACCCGTATTGAATAACTTTCATCTATAACCTCTGATTTTATTTTCTTAGATTTCAAATGCTGTTTTTCAACATCATCTTTTGATTCTTTTTTTCTGTCCTGGTACAGTGGTACTTTAAACTGCCTCTTCCTTTGATAGTAGCAAGTCTCTCAGGAATTTAAATAGGCCTCAGCAAAAGCAATATTTGAGCCTCATTCAGGTGTTCGAGTTAGATCATTATTCCTAATAATGGCTTTAAGTGCTTCTATAGATCAGCACTTTGTGTCTTGAATTGCTCGTCACTTCTTTATAAAGATGTTTCAAGAAATTGTTCCTTGCAGTCCTCTCTTTCATTGTTTTCTAGCAAAAAGTAACATAATCCTCTATTAGTTCGTTGAAAGTCAGAGAAGAAAAGTCTTCTATATTAGCAAAACCAAAATGTATTTCCAGGTACTGAGAGTAAAAAGCAAAATTAGTAATGAGCGATGGTCCTGCGAAAGTTAATTTTTAAAATAAATCATGAATGCACTGACAATCCGTGAGTGGCTTTAACCTCTATTTTATTTTTCCATTATACTTGGGTCCAGGTTGTCATCAGCTACTACGAAGAAACCTGTGTAATTCCTAGAGAGAGAAAAGTTGCACTGTTAGACTTAATAGTATGGTAGTCATGGAAGCATCAGTTATCTTCATCAAGGCAATTCAGATTTGATTATTGTAGAACAGTGTTGAATACCAAACCAGTGGAATAGTAGCTGGAGCTAAATCAAGGGATTGTCATTTTTGTTAGATGATTAGAGCTGACTTGGAAGAGATATGAAAGGGTTGAGCTGTGTAAATATTATCTTTTCAGCAGAAAAAGAAAAGGTCCATCATGGCCATTAAGATGCAGCTTGTTAGCTTGATGAATTTCAAACTATTTAACCTTAGCAATCATATACTCCCGCCTACATACAAGCATATCAGTGCCTTGGAATTATGTCTCCAAGGATTGATATAAAAACATATTGGTAATTTTGTATTAAGACAAAATGCAGCCTTTCTCTGTCTAGATAGATCTCTCAAAGGACAGGACATGCTGTGGTTCAAAATCCTAATCATTAACCTGAATTACATGCTTAGATGAATCCTAGAATGTATTTATTTATAAGTTTTTTTTTAACTTTTAAATGAAAAATATATATAATTTAACATCTTAGAAATGATGATATTCATTTATGTTTTGCTTTTTAACATATTACACTTTTGTAAACTAGAAATGTATTTGTTGCATTTTTATTTGCCTGTGAGGAACTTGATACATTTAAATAATAGACACATTAAATTAATAGCAACGTATTTAAATAGATATACCTGGCCTATAATTCAAGGACATTTCTGCAGTGTTTATAAATAATACTAAATGCCAGAAAGGACAGTGTTTGCACCTTTTATGAAAATGTGCATTGGTCAATTTGCTTTTGTTTTGTGATGGTACTCAGCTAATATTTCCACTACCAGGGCACTTATTATTAAACTCGTATATAAGAATAGATAACGTAGAAATTGCTAACTTTAAAAGAATTACTGAATTCTTGGAATAGTTTATTCATTTTAGGAGAAGAAAGACTTGTTGTGCCATCTAGTGGGCATATTTAGTATTCTGAATATCGAAAACAGATTCTTTTCCTCCAAAATGCAGCTTTCTTGACACTTTGTATTTCTCAGCCCATAAGCATGCATTGTACTCATGTTTCAACTCATATAGGTTTTCACTTTTGTTGTAATTTTATCTGATTGTATATTGGAGAGTCATATTGAAAGTGATTAAAATCATCAAAAATAAATCTAATGACAGGAATAAATATATGTGAACTATGAGAGTAGTGAAAGAAAAATATGTTAAAACAATTCCAGTCCTTAATCAGAACTAAGATAAAGGCAAAACTTCAATAATAAAAGCACACTAACTATTAAACTTCCTTATTATATGTATTTTTTCTGAAGGAATATAAAAAGAATAATTTGTCTTTTCATATGTTAATGTATAATTTAAATAGCTTTATACATTTTAATTTATTTTTTTTTTATAGAGAAATCCAAGACCAGTGACTTATCAATTTCACCCAAATTTAGATTATTACAAAGCACGAGGAGCAGACCTCATGAATAAAAGCCGGTAAGTCCTCTTTCTCTGATGAAAAGTTATGTCACAAAGATATTCTCATAAATCATCAAGAAATACTATACATTTACCAAAAATAATTTTACAGATTTTAGTATATTAGTGGTTACTGCATATAATGAATCTTTGTTAAATAAATTATCCAAAATTTTTTAAAGGCATAAGAAAATGATATACATTGATATCAGTGGTGAGATGAAAATTTAAAATAAATATGAGTACTTGTTACTATTTGAAGTTAGGCAACTTCATTTTTCTAACAATAATAAACCTGAATAAATTGTGCCTACATACAAGCATATCAGTGCCTTGGAATTATGTCTCCAAGGATTGATATAAAAACATATTGGTAATTTTGTATTAAGACAAAATGCAGCCTTTCTCTGTCTAGATAGATCTCTCAAAGGACAGGACATGCTGTGGTTCAAAATCCTAATCATTAACCTGAATTACATGCTTAGATGAATCCTAGAATGTATTTATTTATAAGTTTTTTTTTAACTTTTAAATGAAAAATATATATAATTTAACATCTTAGAAATGATGATATTCATTTATGTTTTGCTTTTTAACATATTACACTTTTGTAAACTAGAAATGTATTTGTTGCATTTTTATTTGCCTGTGAGGAACTTGATACATTTAAATAATAGACACATTAAATTAATAGCAACGTATTTAAATAGATATACCTGGCCTATAATTCAAGGACATTTCTGCAGTGTTTATAAATAATACTAAATGCCAGAAAGGACAGTGTTTGCACCTTTTATGAAAATGTGCATTGGTTAATTTGCTTTTGTTTTGTGATGGTACTCAGCTAATATTTCCACTACCAGGGCACTTATTATTAAACTCGTATATAAGAATAGATAACGTAGAAATTGCTAACTTTAAAAGAATTACTGAATTCTTGGAATAGTTTATTCATTTTAGGAGAAGAAAGACTTGTTGTGCCATCTAGTGGGCATATTTAGTATTCTGAATATCGAAAACAGATTCTTTTCCTCCAAAATGCAGCTTTCTTGACACTTTGTATTTCTCAGCCCATAAGCATGCATTGTACTCATGTTTCAACTCATATAGGTTTTCACTTTTGTTGTAATTTTATCTGATTGTATATTGGAGAGTCATATTGAAAGTGATTAAAATCATCAAAAATAAATCTAATGACAGGAATAAATATATGTGAACTATGAGAGTAGTGAAAGAAAAATATGTTAAAACAATTCCAGTCCTTAATCAGAACTAAGATAAAGGCAAAACTTCAATAATAAAAGCACACTAACTATTAAACTTCCTTATTATATGTATTTTTTCTGAAGGAATATAAAAAGAATAATTTGTCTTTTCATATGTTAATGTATAATTTAAATAGCTTTATACATTTTAATTTATTTTTTTTTTATAGAGAAATCCAAGACCAGTGACTTATCAATTTCACCCAAATTTAGATTATTACAAAGCACGAGGAGCAGACCTCATGAATAAAAGCCGGTAAGTCCTCTTTCTCTGATGAAAAGTTATGTCACAAAGATATTCTCATAAATCATCAAGAAATACTATACATTTACCAAAAATAATTTTACAGATTTTAGTATATTAGTGGTTACTGCATATAATGAATCTTTGTTAAATAAATTATCCAAAATTTTTTAAAGGCATAAGAAAATGATATACATTGATATCAGTGGTGAGATGAAAATTTAAAATAAATATGAGTACTTGTTACTATTTGAAGTTAGGCAACTTCATTTTTCTAACAATAATAAACCTGAATAAATTGTGCCTACTTGTATAATCTCTTTCTAGATCCTTGCTGTTGATTGAAAAGAGGCAGCTCTATAATATATTTTTAAATTATTTCAGTAACAAAATTAAAATTGAGTTTCCCAACTGTCTTTAGAACTACACAATAAGCTTATAAATGCATCTTGTGTGTGCATTTGTGATTACATACATAGAAATTTTAAGGGTCACTGTAGGAATAAAAAAACATTAAAATCCTACTTTTAAAAGAAATTAACATTGGCATAAAGGGTTGATGAACAGTTTTGTTTTTTCATAATACTGTACTCAGATGTCTCAAGAGTTAACTTGTCAAACCAGAACCATCTCAAATTAGAATGTAAATTCAAAGTTTACTCTGGGAGACTAAAATGTTAGTAATGATAAATGCTGTCAAGTTGTCCGAATTTTCTTCTTTAAGCATTTTGTCTGTGTACTAGCTCTCATTCAGTAGGGTTCCAGAAACCTAAATAAACATTTATAGAGCACACGTACAGAATGTGTTCTGCTCTTACTTGGAGACTTAAAAAGAAGACATAATTTCTGTCACATAGAAACTCATAGTCTAAGGAGTGAGAAGAAGTTTACAAGAAAATGGCTAAATTTAAACTTGTATTTCGAACCCTGTTTTAGTGTAATGTTATTTTTAAATTAGCCATCCTCGATTGAAATCTCATATTTTGATTTACTATGTAATTATAAGACCGGTTTTATAGCCTAGGAGGCTTCTCTGAAGCCCTTTTCCGAATCTTCATTTCATCTGATTCTTGTTTCACAAATAAAAGGATATTCCTTTTTGTCACTGTTTATTTTATTTAGCAAAATTTTAATGAGTACCAGACTCTCATTATTTTAGGTATTGGAAATACACAGCGAACATACCAGACAAAAATCTCTGCCCTCAGGAATCTTACAGTCTAGTCACTTGTATGTCCTCCCTGTTATGTCAAGTATTTAGTTTTGGTATATTTAAAAGAACAAGATATTTTAGGTACTTTTTATATACAAAATCCTTCTAAACTGAGGTCTCTTCTTCTCTTCCCCATCTTCTCTATTCTCCCACCCCCACCAGATTAGTTGTCACATAACAGACTCAGGACTCAATTGACAGCAGATTACATCCCTCCCTACCTAAACTCCTCCAAAGGCTTCCTGTTACTGTTGGTATTCCAGTCTCTTCCTGTGCTGCTTCCCTCTCTCTGTCCTTGCCTCCATCTGCTCTCCCCTTCCCTTCACTCCTGAGCTTGAGCTTTGCTTGGGACCTTAGCACTTAACTCCTCCCTCTCCTTGCATTCTTCCTCCCACCCTCATCTTCCCTTGGGTCTTCATGACTGGGGTCTCAGCCTTACCCTCCCTGTTTATCTTCTCTTCCCCTAGTCACTCTCTACTCTACTGCTCAATCTCAGTTTCTTCATAGCATTCGTTACTAACTGAAGTTGTAGACTTCATTTATGTATGTATCATCTGTCTCCCCAACTTCCCCACTAAAATCTAAGCCCCCTGAGGGCAGGCACTTTGTCTTACCACTTAATGGCACCTAGGATAATGCCTGGCATTGGGAAGGTACTTTACAAATATTTGTTGTATGTATATATTTATTATTTTTTTACATTTTTCAATGTGTACTTTTTTGGTCAAAAGAGGAAATGGACTATAGCCTTTATTTTTCCCCCTCATATTTTATCTTTCTTTTAGTTTTCTGTCCCTGCATTTTTTGTTTTTTGAAAAAGTTTTGGTTCTGTTTTATGTATTTCCTTGTAAGCACATTGATTCTTATATAAAGTATTATTTTGATGATTGGAAGGAAGGTTCTTCATCATCTCTGTTGTAATTGCAAAGCTTAAAATTGAAATTGAATTAAATGAAGCATAGCGTGTGAAGAAGACATCACAGAGCAGTGAACAAGGAAAGAGTTAACAAATGGTGCTGAGAAACTTTATAAGTCTTTTGTAAGTATCAACTTATAACTTTACACACCAAAATAAATTCCAAATGAATCAAAGTGCATTCCAGCAAGCAAACATAGAGATAAAATACAAGTATCTATGTGATCTCCAGTTACTAGAAGACTTAACCTTAAAAGTAATGGAAGAAACCACAAAAGGAATGACAGTGCATTTTACTACACAACTATTGTTAAGCAGATATGTCAAAATGAAATAAACCGAATCAAAAGTGAACAGAAAATTGGAGAAATTGTAGAGGAAATAACTGGCAAACTATAATATCATTAGTAAGAAACATAAGATGCTGTCTCAGTGGCCATTCTGCATCATGCCATGCTTCATCGGATCCTCCTGTTCTACCTGGAAATCTGGGAATACCCTCCAATCTTCTATTTTTCCCTCTGGACTCATTCTCTAGAGGATCTCACCTCATTCGTGGCTTTAAATACCGTTTATGACTGAAAGGTTCTTAATTTACATCCCTGTTTGACCTCTTCCCTTGAGCTTCTAGTCTCATATATCCCACTACTTGCTCAGTATTTCCTCTTGGATGTCCTATAGACATCTCAAATTTATTACTTTTCAAACTAAACTCTTGATTCTGCCCCCACGAACCTGCTATTTGTTTATCGCAATAAATAGCACGACCCAGTTGATCAAGTCTTAGAATTGCCCTTCACTGCTCTTTTTCTCTCACATCACACATCAAGTCCATCAGCAAATCCTCTTTAAAATGTATCCTGAAGTCTGCGGCCATGCCACCCTGAACAAGCAGATCCCGTCCAATCTCGCAAGCTAAGCAGGGTCGGGCCTGGTTAGTACTTGGATGGGAGACCACCTAGGAAGACCAGATGCTGTAGGCATAAAAAATAAGAGATTGTAAGCTGACAAGGTCCTTGCAGTCTGTGAGGTCAACCAAGGGTTGCCTCGCCTAAAAAAAATAATAATAATTAATAATAATAATAATAAAATGTATCCTGAAACAAATCACTTTTGTGTATATACTGCAAATACTCATCACATCATTGTTCATCTCACTACTGTAGTCTCTTAACGAGTCCCCCTTCCTCTCCTCCTTATAGACCTTTTCTGCACAGCAGCCAGGTTGATATAAGGCAGATCATATCACTCCGCTGCTTGAGCCCTTTGATGACTTCCCCAAACATTTGGATAAAATCCAAAGCCTGTCAGTGGTCTGCAACACAGGCCCTGTGATCTGGCCTCCTACTATCTCTCCAACCCCATTTGCTACCACCCTCT